CCACCTTCCCAAACTAAACAATTGTTCTTGGCAATTAGACTCTTGAAGACTTAACTTTTAATCCAGTTTGTTCTCAAAATATTTGCACAAATGAGAGTCTTGAGGTTTGAGCTTTCTATTCTGAACGCTCAGCTTCTTGCCCAGGAGAAAAATAATACATGCTCATGTTTATAAATAGAGTTATGGCATTGGAGTCCTTCACATTGCAGCCAGCCTAGGGACTCAGTTATTCAGAATTTAAACATTTTACTTATAAAGAGCACTTCGGTATCCACCCCAACTTCACTGTCACTATCCCTGCCACCCTTCCCTCTAAAACCTGGGTGTCCTCCTCCCCATCTGGCTCTGAGGACCTGGAGCCCGTCTGAGCCCACCTCCCCTCCCCACTGTCACTGGTCTTTGGCCATTTCTTGGAGCAGTTCCTGGGGCCCCTTTGCTTTCCTTGTCCTGGAAGGGCCCTGCTCTGCCTGTCTCAGCGCCATCTCTGTGTGTCCCATCAGGAAGCAACAGACAACCCCTCAAGCCCCACAGTAAAAACGTCACTCCTGGTCTGGGGGCACATCCATCCCCCGTGTCCCCAGTCCCATCCTGGGTGTTCCGGGGTTCCAGTCACAGCGGTGGGGACACCGCCATCTCACTGCATCCCTCTTGCGGCAGCTTGGCTGAGCTACAGGACCGGGCCGCTGGAGGCCTCCTTGTGCTGGAGTGCACCTGCCAGGTGCCAAGCTCTGCCAGCTGCCCGACCCCACTGTGAGGCCGCCCCGTGCAGGCGAGTTCACTGGCAGCCCAACCAGCCCGCGAAGGCCATGTGAGTGTGAACCCCCATTACAAGCTTTCCCTCATGAGGTGGCGCTGACAGTCTAGGGGATACCTGCCTTTCGTTACCAGCTGTAGCCATTAGGCTGGCACCAGGAGGAGCCAGGTGGAGCTGGCACTGGGGGCGACGCTCTGTCTTTGACGCACCCCGATGCTTCCCCCCATCCTTCCGACCGTGGTGCTCTGCGCAGACCCTTCCAACCCATCCCAGGGCCTCTGCCCAGTGTGGCCAGAGCCTCCTGTCAACAAGTGTGTCACTGCCTTCGGGTTATTACTGCTCACTAGATTCCACTTGCTCCACACCCCAGGCACAGTGTACCAGTTTCCCAAACCTGTGTGCTCAGTGCCAGCCCCTTACCAAGTGCAGGGTTGCCCATTTCACTCTAGGAAATGCAGCCACAGCTCGGGGGCCAGCTAGAGGAAGGACTGTGATTGTGCCTTCCCGGGATAACTTCCAGGTCTGCCAGTCTGTGATGTTGTGAGTGTTGCCTTAGCTTTGCTAAGAAAATGCTTAGGGAGATGGGTTCCTTCACCCGTTCTTCTACCCATGTGCCGTTCTGGCTCCAGGGCCGGTGTCCCTGCTTTGGAGAGGATGCTGACATGAGCTGGCCTCCTGGGGGTCTGTCGAAGTTCTCTTAGCCTAAGCGGCTTCCTGTCTTGGGCTCCCTCCCCAGCCATTTGGGTCACCTCGGAACCCTGAGGATCGCTTCTGGATCTCAGACCCCCTCACCAACTCCTGTGACACAATAATCAAAGGTAATTAGGAAATGTATGAATCATCTTCTTTAAGGAATATTTAGCATTTCTGCTCATTCCAGAGTCCCTGGAAACATGGCATTTCAAAGGCTCAGTTAGATCACAAGTCCAATTTACTGCCAGAAATTTGCACGTAGAATAATACAGAGCCCATGATGGCAGTTGAAGTGGTATCCTGTGAGAAAATTAATTAGTCCTGAAACTAAATGCCAACCGCCTCAGCAAAATATTCATGAGAGAGGCGAACCTCGTGCATGGTGTTTGAAGTCAGGCAGCCGAGGCTGTGTACGGGACGTGTTCTCTGTGGCTGAGTTCTGCTGTGGATTCTGGGCTCTAGGCAAGGCCTGTCTCTCCTTCTGGACTGGCTTCCAGGGCTGCGGGCTCGGGGAGGCCCTGGAGGAGGAGGGAGCCCCTGAGCCTCTTTGGTCTTGTATTTGTGTGTCCTTCTGGGCTGCAGGGCTGCAGAGTAAACCAGCTCCCAAGCCTCCAAACAAAAATAAAGACCTGTGAATGGCTATACTCGGAGAGCAGAGCGTTTTGATATCATGGGGAGACTGTGTACTTAATTTACAGTCTGAAGTTCGTGAAGGATTTAATTTTTCCAAAAATGGTGAGAGAAGAGCAGGCCCCAGCCTTTCTGTCTGATTACAAACAGCCGAGGGGGACTGGGGAGGTGGCCTGGTCCTCATGCCCCTGGAGGGGCAGGAAGAGGATGGAGTGATGTGCTTGGCAGATGCAGGAATAGCCAGGCCATGGGAAAAGCCCAGGGTTTCCAAGCAGCGTCTGATCCTCTGTGTTCCTTCTGCCCGCTGGGATGGAGCCCGCCCCCAAAATGTGCCTGGCCCACTGGTGACTCAGAGTCAGCTGCCCCCAGGACCTTCCCAGCTCTCGTGACCTTGCTGGGCATGACTTTCAGGGGAGCCCTCTGTCCAGGAGACATAGGTCACTCGAATCACACAGCCATGCTGTAGCGAATGCTAGCCGGGGGCCCTGGAGAGAGCAAGGACAGGGCGCTCCTGCATGGAAACGAAAATGAATATTTTTCTCTGCAGAAAATGGAAAGTGGTGCTGGGTCCAAGTGGTAGGTGACCTGGCTTTTGAGCGAAAATGCTGCTGGGAAATGAGAGAAAAGAAACATGAAAAGAATGCAAATGAGGATGGTGGACAGGGGCCCAGAGGCCTGATTCCTCCGCCCTCCGCGAAGGCTGAGTGTGTGATGCCTATAAATAGACACTCAAAACCCGTTCTAAATGGAGTGAAGACATGAGCCTGCTCCCTCTTCTGGAAAGGCCTTACATAAGGTGCAGTGCTGCTGTTGCTCTTGGGCGGTGTGACGATTCTGTGCCTTTGTTGGAAGTCAGTGTGAAGCCCGTGGGGCTGCTGGGGGATGCAGATGGATGAGCTCTGGCCTTTCCGGAGACTCGCAGACTCTGGGAAGGAGGCAGTGGGCAGTGGGCAGGCCCCCCAGGGCTGGGACGCAGTCCTGAGACAGGCTCTGGGTTTCCTGAGGTGCTTCTGGGCAGGAGCAAGTGGGAAGAGCTGGACTGCAGGGCTTGGTCAAGTGACAGCTGCCCAGAGCTGGGGTTTAGGGTGCCTGGAGAGGACAGGAACTGGCGGGCCTGACTTTCTCACTGATGTGCTTGGGGTCACAGGGCTAACCTGTAACAGAGTGAGGAACTGAGGCCGCACCGCGGACTCCCATGGAGGGTTCTTGCTGCTGGACTAACCTTTGGTTCATGCCCTCACTCAGAATACTTATTTTTGGAGGACCCCAGGTGGCGAGCTTAGGAGTGAAGAAGGGAATACTATTCGATGCTAATGTGATTCCAGGCAACATTCTAGAGGTTTCTTTGCAGTTCACCTTCCCAGCCACCTTTGAAGTAGTTCTTATTGTCCAGTTTTACACACGATGAAACTGACGGAGATGGTGTGAAGGGATTTGCTGACGTTCACACAGGAAGCGAGCAGCCCACGCCGACTCCACTGTGGAAAGCGTGTGTGTGATTGACATGCTTTTTGTGTGGTGCTCACTTTGGGTGTGATAAAGAGGCCTCCTTGCGGAGGGCCAGGCTCTGTGAAGCACCACGTCGCTTCAAAGAACAGGCCTTGAAAGGCCACAGAAGCACCATACCCTGGGAAGGAAATGGAACAATGGTGCAAACGGCCAGTTTCCCCTGAGCAGAGGCAAGCAGGTTACAGCTCTGCGGCTCCCTTCACGGGTACCTTGTTCAACACGGAAACATCTTTAGCCTCCTCAGAGACATCGGGTCATCTCCTTTACGTGGGGACCGGAGGTATCTGCACTGGGCCATTTTGGGGAGGAAATTCCGTAACTATAACCCTCTGCTGGAAGAGTCTGCCTGGGCAGTGAGAGCAGCTGGCCGCTGTCTTAGAGAAGTGAAGACGCTGAGTATAGACCAAACCTTTGTGATGAAGTCCAAGCCACTGTCTCGCCTGTGTCCTGTTTCCTTCCCCAGTGAAAGGGGCTGTTCCCTGCGACTGCAGACCCCAGGACCAGATTGCAGGTGCCCTGTCCAGCAGTGCAGCGATTCGTGAAGGGCTCCCAGCCTGACCCAGCCCAACAGCTGACACCCCCGGGGGGAGGCTGTATTGCTATCCTTTTTGAAAGGAACACAGAAAGCCTTTGTAACTTTCTCCGTCTGTAGCCAACATGGAGGGAGAGGCAGAATTCAGATGCGGTGTTGCAGACGAATGAACGCCCCTCCTCCTGTGCCACCCCTGGCTTCCTGCCCGTAGCCTTCTAATGCCTTTGCTCTGAATTCCTGATCCAACCCAAGGGCCTGGCCTTGACGCCCCCGAGCCTGCTGGCAGGAGCTTCCTCTTCAGCCTTCCTGTGCAGAGCTTCCGCTGTTCAGGGAAGTCTGAGACCTGGTGGTCTCTTCCTTGTTCTTTTCATGAGACGATCTCGCCCAGGAGAAGGTGGGCTGAGACCCTGGGCATTGGAAGGGAGAGGTGGTCCTCCTTCCTCTCTTCACTTTCATCGCTCTCCACTCCCCGCCCACCCCCATATGTACACCCTCCACAGTCTGAAAGTGTCGTGAAGCATCAGCTTTGCAAACCCGTGGGGTCAAGCTTTGTTGTGGGAAAATACATATTCATGAGGGCTTTGAGGAGCCTCATTAAAATGCAGAGAGTCTCTCCTTGCAGAATGGTACATAAGCCATCTCTTTATTTGCCCAACACATTGTTCTTAAGGCAATAATTATGCGATGAATGGCTAAAGAAACATTTTAATTATTTGTTTAGGGTAATTTCTGATTATCTCATTAGAATTATAATCTGTTCACTTTTACAGGTGATTCAAAGCCTCATATTTACATTTTTATACTTGAAGGAGCTCTATGTGGGCACCTGTATCATTGCTGAAACAAAAGTGATTTTCTCTGTTTTCTTCTGTTTTCTTCCAGAAAGATTTGATCACCAGGCAGGAGATTTTTCGGGACATTACCAGACCACTCATTTTCGGTAAGAAATACAAGGCAGCGTTGCATGGAGTGAGGTTTTGCGTTTGCCGTGTGGGGAGCGGACCGTTTAACTGGAGGGAAAATGCTACACTGCAGGCAGAACTGGCAACTGCCGTGGCCCTTTGTTTTCTGGGATCCTGTGTGTGTGAGCTCGGGGAGTTCGAAGCTGGGGTTTGAGTCACAGCCAAGGAGTGGACGGACAGGGGGGAGTCTGCTGGCACTCACCTTGCCTGGAACCAACCTGCCCACCACCCAATGACAACAGCAAGACAAGCAGTCCGCGTGCATCCCCTCCTCATCATACTGGTGTTTCTGTAAACTGTGGTCCTCACCAGACTCCGTCATTGATTTGTGTAACCCCTACCTAGGTTCCTAGTTACAGCCAAAGTAGACACATGTATATTGGCAACAATGGTAGCACTCGAACCTTTCACTCTCCAGTGTGGGCAGTGGCTGGTCTACTTCGAGAAGGGACCAGCCATTGTGAGATACCAGGAAGCTGAGCAGAAGAAATCTAACTTTGATAAAAAGAGGCCTCCTCAGCTTGCCAGGGATGGAGCGTGGCCCATCCTCCCTCCCGGTGCATGGAGCAGTATTGCAGCCCTGATGACACTGCCCCATGGTCGTGGCTTGCCCCTGCCCCATAGGACTGGTAGGAACAGAGCCCTGGTGCCAACCGAGTGTTCCACACAGCGGAGACTTGCAAGGGACAGGTTCTGCACTGCAGATGAATTGGCTGTCTTCTTCTGTGCCTGGAGACACACAAGGTGGCGGCGTTGTAGGGAAGCCAGTGTACGGGGTGGGGCGTGTTTGGAGAACGAGGAGCAGAGAGCATTGTTGCTGAATTTAAAGAAGCAGAGCCAGGGATGGTCTTCATGTTTGATGCCCAGAGCAGGCCTGAGCTTCTGAGGGATTCTGGGGGTTCTTATGTATTCTTGGGAAGGAGCATGTGGTAAGCTTGGACAGGGAGGCAGTTCAGAGTGTCACATGCAAGGCAGCAGTGGCCTCGGGACCACCCTCCCCCGACCAAGGCAAGGAACACTTTGTGTGTCCCCGTGGGGAAGCTCTGTGCCAGTTGTGAGGGGACGGATGAAGACCAGCAGGGGCGAGGATGGGATTCTGGAGGGTCAAGACTCAGGTTCAGAATCACAGTGTTTCGTCCGGGGCAGCACAAGGCCACAGGTCTGGCTATTTGAAGCCACCCGGAGAGCCATTATTTGTAAAGCAAGGCGGCTTTATTGATTTCACTTTCTGTCCTGCATCTTTCCCACATCGTGGTAACCGCTCACACCCCTGTTCTGCTTGTGTGGCCGGAATTCCCTTGCATCAGTTGGGAAGCATTCTTGTCACAGATGTCCTGGGTGAATTCCACGGTGGCTCTCCGTGGAGGGGGCACATTCACAAGGCATTTAAGAGAGGTAGGACAATCAGCCCTCGTCCATGCAACAGGATGAAATGGAGAGGAGCTGCATGATTATTAATGGGTTTGGACATAAGCTGGAGTATCTACTGAAATTTTTCTCTGTTGTCAGTTTTCAAAGTTTGCGAATGTACTTTTGTGCTCTCCACAAGGCCTTTTCTGCTCTGTTTAACTTTCCGCTTAGGGTTGTAAACATACTTCAGCTGTAATGACATTAGATGCATCATCCACTCGGCTCTGAAAGTGCTGGAGATTTTGATTGTCACCAGCAGTAAGGACAGCTTGTGAAGGGGGATGTTGTTACTTATGGAGACGCAGCACACGATTCCATGAAATTCCAGTCTTCTGGGAGCCCAGGGTTAAGCAGCTGCCTCAGCCCATCCACCCTCTACGGACTGTCCACGGCGAAATTGGCTTCTTGACGTTTTCCTTATGGAACCTGGGGTGTCATTACATTCTGAGAGAGTCATAGGGTTATGTCTCTAAGGTATAAGGCATTTTTTTCTTCTGAGTCTAGAAAAGAACTACTGGAATTTTTATGTGTCCTGAAATACTATTAGACGATCAAAGCAATTGCAATAGAGAAGGTGCTGGGCTGTCTTCCCGATTGCGCTCACCCATCTGCAGTGTAATAGGCCTATCATGTAAGTGAATATACTCATCACAAGTCTCCGCAGCTTCCCAGCAGAAAAGCATATTCCTTCTCAGAGAGAAAGGCGGCAAGGAGATGGATATTTTTAAATGCCAATTATGCCAGAATGAGTCTCTGTGAGGAGATCTGTAAAGAGAAGAAAGGGCCTGGGTTTATTTATTTTTCTACTGCAAATGGAATCATTCTGTAGCTTCAGAATACTAATACCCGTGGTGTGCCTGATGTCTTTTCATAGGATAATTTGTGAATGTGCTTCCACTTACAGGAAAAGTTTGAGCCTCTTTTCTTCCTCTTCTTCTTCTTCTTCTTTTTTTTTTTTTTGAGAATTAAATTCTAGGCCTCACTATATCCTATGATAACCATCGTATAGGCCCTTGATCTATAAAATGTGTGAATAATGAAATATATAAAAGCAGCAATTATCCCGAAGGAACATAGAAAAGATTAATAAGCTGTATTTAAATTACAGCAAGTCTCAGAACATATATTAAGTTAGAAGACATCACATCCTGAAAATGACTGGCTGATGTGGTACTATTATGTGCCCCAGTACAGATGCGTATACATGCTGTGTAAAACCTAGCCCAAAGTGTTTTTTAAAATATAAGATCCAAAGAACAGCATGGAAATTCCAAGCTACAAGATATGAAGAGAAAACACAAAGCCAGAGCACTAAGGGAGGAGGCCATGAGACCCCCAAGCAGTGAGGTTCCTGTTGGAGAGCCAGGATGATGAAGATTGTATGACGTTTGTGCAGGAAGAGACAGGGCAATGGCTGGGACAGGGTAGCAAGGCTAGGAGCAAGTGCTCACATGTATAGGAAGCCAGGAGGTGGCAGAGCTGTGTTATGGACCAGGTGGGAAGTGATACAGGACAGCTGGTTGGCCACATAGGAAAAGAGAAAAGATAAAGTGAAATCCCTACCTCACAGCATATGTACCAGTAAACAGCCATAGAATTAAAGGCCTATGCTGGGCATGGTGGCTCACACCTGTAATCCCAGCACTTTGGGAGGCTGAGGCAGGCAGATCACCTGAGGTCAGGAATTCAAGACTAGCCTGGCCAACATGGCAAAACCCCATCTGTACTAAAAATACAAAAAATTAGCCAGGTGTGGTGGCAGACACCTGTAATCCCAGCTACTCGTGAGACTGAGGCAGAATTGCTTGAACCTGGGTGGCGGAGGTTGCAGTGAGTGAGATTGTGCCACTGCACTCTAGCCTGGGTGACAGAATGAGACGCCGTCTCAAAACAAAACAAAACAAAACAAAAGAAAAAAAGAATTAAAGGCCAAAATGTAAAGAGAAAAATGTTAAAATACATAGGAGATTTTTTTCTGTCTGCTCTTGAGGTGGGAAACATACACACATCATAAAAGAAAAGATGGATTAAGCAAACATCAGTATTAGCAACTTCTTTAAGAGAACTACAGGCTGGAATAAATATTCATGATGAATGTACTGTGAGAGATTGGTATTCTGTTTGTATCAAGAACTCTTTCAGATTAATTTTAAAAAGACAATAGAATTGAAAAAGGAGCAAATACTGTGAAGACAAAGAAATGCAAATGTCAAGTAGACAAATGAACTCTGCCTCGCTCCTAATCAGGGAACTGCCAGGGAGATCATGAGATACCACTTCACACTCACATGTTGGCAAATTGGAAAGTCTGATAATCGAAGGCTGCTCAGAGTGTGAAGCAAGGGGGCCTTCATGTCCTGTTTATCAAGGGCAAATTAGTAAAACCCCTTTGGAGAACAATGAGGTGTTATCTAGTAAGGTTGAAATGTGGATCCCCCAGGACCCAGCAATTCCGCTCCTGGGTGTAGATACCTTAGCAGGCCATGAAATGGATTCAGTGTTGTTTTAGTCAGTTCTCTTGAAAACAGAACCCATAGGATCAGTTTTTCTTAGAGTTTATGTGTTGGTTGATCAAATCATTGGGGTCAATTGATAGATCATAAGGTATTGGCTTGTGTGAGATGGCATCTGTGAAGTCCCACAATCTGCCATCTACAAGCTAGAGACCCAGGGAAGCCAGTATTGTAGTGCAGAGGCCTGGGAAGCAGAGAATTGGTGCAGATTCCAGTCCAGGCCAACCTGAGAACTAGAAGCATGGAGGACAGAGAAGACCAATGTCCGAGTCAGGCAGTCAGGCAGAGCGTGAATTCAACCCTCCTCTGCTGTTTTGTTGTATGCAGGCCCTCACTGGAGTGGACGCTGCCCACCTACACTGAGGAGGGCCGTCTGCTTTCCTCAGTCTGCCAATTCCAATGCTAACCTCTTCCAGAAACACCTCACAGACTATCCAGAAACAGTGTTTAACCAGACGCATGGGCACCTTGTGGCCCAGTCAGGTTGACACGTAAAATTAACCATCACAAGTGGGTCACAACCAGCATTTTCTAAAAATATGAACTGGATTAGAATAGAAGATATCAGGGTTTGTTCTGCATAGTGAATGATAGTGATCCTCAGAAGGGGGACTGTGAGGGGGTGGGACTGACAGCGATGGTTAAGTCTGAGTGGTGTGTTCATGGAGGTTTGCTACATTGCTTTCTATATTTCTGCGTATTTGCAAAGTTGAGGAGAAAAGAAGTTGCACTGAACACCTGGATGGAGGCACACAGACCCCAGTGTTCTCTGCTGTGGGTCCCTCTGATGGGGCCATCTTGCTCCTGTCTTGCTGGTTCATCCTCCACCTTGGCTGACTACCTGGCACCCTTGTACAGACGGTTCTGTTTGTCTCTTCATTGAAATGGGTGGGATTGATTTATTTATTTAGAGACAGGGTCTTGCTCTATTTCCCAGGCTGGAGTGCAGTGGTGTGATCACGGCTCACTGCAACCTTGACCTCCAGGGCTCAATCAACCCTTCCTCCTTGGCCTCCTGAGTGGCAGGGATTACAGGCACGTGCCACCACACCCAG